AACACAGCCTGCATAAACCAGAGGTATGTTCCACTATTTAAATTTGTCCTGTCTACTTAATAAAATTATTTATCTTTTCAAAAAAAAATGTCTACAGGAAGAGATGTAGCAGTATCAACAGAAGAGTTACTTTTTCTTTTTCCTAGGATAAGTTGATTTCAAGAAATATTTGATAGCATAAGGTAGCATATTCAAAACAATAAAAGCATCCTTTGCAGGTTTATTGCTATATTGGAGATTTGAGGAAATCAATGTGAAGATAGCATGGTTTGATCTCTTCTTCCAGTTAATGAACACAGTGCCCACCTCATCTCAGTGAGCAGATCACTTGAAATTTACAGCAAGATGGAACATAATTCTAACTTGGATCAAACAGACAAGAAGTATTTTGAACTTCAGCCCTTTTGATGGAAGAGGTGGCTCGAATTCATCATCCAGACTTCTGAGAAAGAAACAGAAAATGGGCAACTTACTTGAATTTTAATTGCATGTCGCCGCATGTTAAGAAAATCTTTCCGCATTTTCCAACTACGGAACCTATATTGGATTCGCGCAGCAGCAGCCAGTTTTTTCCGCGACTCATAATTGCGGAAAGCATGCTGAATCTTCATAGCTGCAACTATATTACGTGCTTCCATCTCCGGATTTGAAGACTCGACAGCTTTAGTCTGTACTTTGAATGAATGTTCTCTGAATGCAGCCTGTATACGTGCAGCAGCATCAGCAGCAGTACGATAAGCTGCCAAAGTATCCTTAAGATATAGCTCCTCCTCCGTGAAGTTTCCAGGGTTTATATGTTCAGTAGTGGTCTGCAGTGAACCACTAACATTTCCAGCCAAGGTCATATCCTTAAAGTGTGCAACTAAAGCCTTCTCCGCAAGATAAGCCCCCAAACCCTCAAAACCATTTTTAGATGCAAGATCAGCAGCAGTGGATCCACCAGGGTTCTCTGAAGTAGGGTCTGTCACCAAATTTGGTTTTGCACCGGCGGATAGAAGGGTTGCAACCATTTTCTCCCTGATAGTCGAAAATCCCAAAAGTAAGTAACCAATATGCTGAAAATTGTAATATTCAAAATAAAATTACCCTGGTTATGTTTTCATTTCATTAAACATTTTTTCCTTTGTTTGGTTGGGGGAGGTGGGAGGAAGGTGGAGGAAAGGGGGTGGCGTGGGTAGACATTTTGGTGGACAGCAGTAGACATATACTTAAATAAGAAGAAGCTTCATGATTATTATTTTTAAGCAATCAAATAATAATGATTTCAAAATCCCTTAGCTGCACTAAGGATTACCTTCCATAATGAGCAGCCCAGTGAAGAGCTGTCCAACCATACTTGTCCCGGTAATCCAATGATAAGCCTGACCAGGAAAATGGATATACAGCCCAAGTATAACCTAGGATAGCACACAAATGGATAACTCCTTGACCTTGCTCGTCCCACTCTGAGGTTTTACACCCTCCAATAACTCTTTCTAACAGCCATTCATGAAACTTTGTTTGCAAAGACAGCTCGAACAAGCAGTCTTTTGCATGTGGGACAGGGAGTTTCCTGTCTTCAATTGATTTGATCAAATATGCCCAATTATCAGTAATGTGCGAACATTTTCGAACAAATCGCTTTGCTTCTTTCAGGGAATCTTGGTGTACTTTACTGGAAAAAATGCTTAGGCTCTTAGATGTAGAGAAGAGCAAATGAGCTAGCCTCATTTGAACTCTAAATTCATCCCAACTAGACTGTTCCTCCAGAGGAGCTGTCCATTTGCATGCTGAAGGAGCTCGAAACTCATAGGTCATGACTTGACTGATTGGTGTATTACCGTCGAAACTCAAATACAAACTTACCAGTCCAGGGGGTTGAGGTGAAATTACACAACGATATACCCCGGACTGCACAAATTCTGCAGGAAAACAAACATCTGCACATACGCAGAACAAATTTGACTTTGCCAGTTGCGATTGTGCTCCTGGAAAATGCCCAATCACTAAGATCTGCAATGATTTAGACAAAATATAAGTTTTGAGATCATAGCTCAAAAAAAATGTGTGCATCTAGAAACTCTTGCCTCCACTCAGTAATTGGCTACTGTTTGATTTATATCTAAAAGTTTAAGAAGTGAATTCTCTCTCTGATAACTTAAGTGAAACTGAATTTAGCCACAGCGTGGAAAGCTGAATTAAGTTATTTGTTTATTTAATTACATTCAACACGTAAGCTAGGCGTTGACTGTCACTCAATGTTATGTTATGTCAAACCAGGACATGTCTAATGAGTATTAATATTCCATTAGTACAATGAGATTGATAAATTTTCTTTTTTCATATATGAATGCAAATAGAACTTCTTAAACCAAACATGGGAATGGGACATTCCTTCTCTCTTATCGCGAGAGAAGGTTATGTTTTTGTGAACTGATGCTATTATAGCAAGGTAGCAAGGCTTTGAAGAAAAAGAACCTTTGTTTCTTCACTTGAAAGAGCCCAAGTTGGAGAGATTTCGGTTATGTTGAATATCTGCTGCATTACATATGATTGATCGATAGTTACTGAAGATTCAGGAGTCATCATCTCATCTGCAGATCCTGGAGAATCACTTATGAAGTAGTTAATCCACCGTCCAAAGCTGTCCTGAGTTTGGAGGCCATCCTTGTTCAGACTATCAAAGGAATCACCTGCACCCACTGTTGTTACTCCAGGCTCATTCTTTCGAAAATTTGAAGTCATCTGACCATCCCCGGAATGGAAGGGCATGTCATTTGAAGGATTAAAATTTACAGTATCACTTCCAGCCACTTGGCAAACAAAACTTTCTAAAGATGCTACAGGTACTCTCGACACAGATAAAGAGCCATCCTGCAAATCACCATTATTAGTAGCCATACAAAAGAAATAAATAATAAAAATTAATAGTACTATTTTTCACATGGAATCCAAGTAAATAGGAAGAAGTTAAATTATTTCACGGCGGAACTTGACAATCGCTAAGGATAGACTTAAAGCAGAAGTTAGAGATTAGGTTAATTAGATGGACACAATGTAAAAGCCAATTTTTTATATCTGAAGGCTTTTGCCAGCACAATCCTTACAGGTAGTATATAGAATAATGCGTGCATATCAACATTGACCCATATATATACATATAAAATCTAATAATGAGTATTGCACAGTATGAACAACGAAAAAGTGAACACATTTGTTATATCACTCTTGAAACGTTGGAGACATAAAATTGCGTCCAAAATTAAAATTATCTAAATTAAAAGGTTAAATCATGGTGCCCATGGGAGTAATGAAAAAGTTGTTTGGGAATATCAAATTCTGCAGAACACCAGAACAGATGACTCAGTGGCTTGACAGTTAAAATTTGCAGAACACGGACGGAACAGATAACTCATTGAACCTGACAGTTCATGTTATTTAAAAAGGAAAAAAAAGAGTTTGAGAAAAACAAGTTAAACATAAATCAACTAAATAGACAATTACTGAAAAATAATTAGCGTACCAAAGTTATTTTCATTAACCCATCGTGTAATTAGATAATATTGATTTTGGTGCTAATTTACCCTTCAAGAGTTTTCCTTATTGCCTATGAGAAAAATATAATCTAACTTACTAAACAACATTACTTTCATTAAACTTAATCCTGTAGTATCAAAATTTTGAAATAACGAGAAAAGATGAGTTAGAGAAAAGAAGGATCTGTGGAGAATTGTACTAGTGAAGCAAGCAGCATATTAGAACCGCTTACGTTGAGGCTGTAACCATTAACTTCAATTTGATTTTGTTGCCCGACTGAAGCCCTTCCTCCCGCTATACATGGATACAAAAGGAAGGATACATGATCAATGAATTAGGCAAATGATCAGATAACTTTCTCACAGGCTACAAGCACCAATTTTACAAGAATACACAATACCTTCTTGAGTTGCAATTAGCTTGTTGGGATTGTCAGGTGCCAAAAGCTCATCCCACTCAAGTGTATTAATCTCAAGAAGTCTCTGTTCATGATTTTTGGCGGTCACATCCCTGTTAGGCTCTGCAATCAGTAAAAGACAGGAATTAATTGAGCCAATTCCAAAGGAGAAAAAAAAGGTTTTTTCTTATTGGGACATTCCAAGATTACAGCAGGTTCGACATCTAATAGCATAAGTAGGACACAATCTTGTTGCACGATAAATTGCTCAGAAGTTCCTAATAATAAAAATATCCCATTATCTTCAAGAGTGATATTCTGTTGTTTTATTTATGAAGCTACAACTTAGACAGAAGGATTAAACATGATGCTTATGTCTCCACTCATAGAAGGCTCAGTTCAGGCAGTTGAGATTCTACTAAATAAAATCGTAATAAGATATCATTTCTAGAAAGCCCACTCTGCAGTACCTAAATGTGCATGTTGGCTGGAACCATACGTCCGTTCATCTACGGAATTACATTTTTCTGATAAAACCCAACCAGATGGATCAGATGGATCTGAACTGGAATTGGAATTAACCGGGGTAGCTGGAGAACCCTTGGCAACAGAGGTCGCTGGGGAGCCCTGTGCCTGCACGGTAGACATAGACAACAACTGAATTAAAACATTCGATATATTTACAACTACTTAAAGAGGGACTTATTCCAGTACGGGAAAAGGTTCCATTTTTTTTTTGGGGGGGGATGGACAAAATAAATAATCTTATTAGTAATGGGAAGATCTCCCATATACAAGCAGTATACCAAAAAGCAGAGAGTATACTACATAATATGATTCTCTACAAATGGCACCTGATCTTATATACAAATTGGAAATTCATGAGTTCACCAAAAAGAAACATGGAATGCGGTGCTATTCCTCAAGTATAGATAGTCGTTCTCTATCCATTCAAAAGCTCTAATATTTCTCTCCTTATATAAAAGTTTAGCTAGAAGTGCCTCCTTTACTGTGCCCGACATTGCTCATTGCAGCTCTAACCACTAACATCTCATACCACAAGCAAGGTGATAACCACCTGAAAATGTAGGAGGAGGTGATCCACATCTTCATCAGAGCATTTGCAGATAATGCAACAACTAACATATGTAATCCTCTTTCTCCTCAAATTCCCAGCTCTCAGGATTGCTCGTCTTGCTGCCCACAAACAGTGTTATCAAAAGCGAAAAGCGCAAAAATCTCTAAGGTCTGTTGGGTTTTAAGCGCAAATAAAGTGTGGGCTTTAATGAAGAAAACCGCAAATAGAGAAAAACGACAAATATGTATGTGTTGTTCAAGACTAATATCTACAAGCATGATTGCCCAATATATGGACAAAGAAACGGAAGAAAATTTACGACAAAGTGAAATATCAATTGTTTAGTATCGTTTCTTTAGGATTACGTCCATTGGCAAGGAAAATTATGCCTTAGAGCCTTGATGACAATACTGAAGCGCCCACTAAGCGAGGCGAAGCGCTCAACATATTTTGAGCCTCGCTTCAGGGCTTAAGCGCGCCTTTGATAAGACTGCCCACAAAGTAAAAAGGCACGCTTTTCCCGATTCCCCACAAATCCAAACCTAAAAAGTGCTGAAAGTTCGACATATACAATAACATGTTAGTGCTTACAATCACATGCACAAGATATGTCAGTGTGTTATCTCAGTCAATTTTGACATAGGCGGAGTTACCAAAAAGCAATTGTCCTTGGGTAAGTAATTGAAGCATGCCAGATCCAGCTCAGATAAGTGCATAACATACCATTATACAGAATTACCAGTCTGGAGGTGCACTTCCGCTCCTTTTTTTTGGGATAAAGAAGTTATACTCACCTTCCTTTTGTTATCAACTAAGAGGTGAACAATTCACCACAGAAAGTCGGTTCTCTTCCAGCTTTTGAACAACTAATATATATTATCTATCATTGTTCTTAATCAGGATCATATAGAAAATGAAAAGGAAAAAAAATGAATACAAATTCACACTGCATGAAGATTATACCACCATCACCATTGTTCCCAGTTCCCTCTTCACTCCCCACCGCACAACCAAAAAAGCAGGAAAAAAGAAGGAAAAACAAACATTTCCAGACTAGATCCATATAAGTGATATCTACTAGCTGGGAATAGGTTTTAGGCTTGTTGTAGAAAGTATATATATATTTGACTTGTTTTTCACTTCTATTTTATTTGGTATGATGATGATATGAGTTGAGCTTAAATGAAGTGAGGTTTCATATGACCGACCCAACTTGTTTGGGACTGAGCCGTAGTTATTGTTTGTAAACATTTCCAGACTCATACAAAAAGTTTTCTCTGATTCATCTCCCTATCCAATCAATGCCTGTCCTCCTGCTCACTGCATGAGATAGCAGAGGAACAGAACAGCAATCTGCTACAAACTTCAACGCTTCAACCTTGTGTGACAGACAAGGTGTATCCTACTCAGGGCACTGACAGTGTAGATGGACTGAAAAACAGGAGAAAGGATAATCTACATACATAATGCCAATCGTCGTCTACATAGATAAAAACCACCTAACATATCCCTGCAATGAGGGATGACACCACATATAATACTGCTCCTGCTGTAGTTAGCAAATCTCGTCCCTTCACACTAGGAATCTCAGAATGCTACGATATATAGATACATTTCTACACCGCATTTGGGTGGTAACGAGTTAAAAAATGTGAACTGTTGACCAAACTGTTTAATAACAGTGTTGAATATGTGCTACTACTTGCTATACATTATTCAGATGGCCAGACAGGCTTGACGTACTTTTTCTTTCTTTTTTTTTTTTTTGAGAAAGGTAAAAGTCAGGCTTGACGTACTTCTAAGTATGAAATAGTAGAGCCAAAGAAATTGCTGGTATATATCCCAAAATAAAGAAGTGCATAAATGAATAATAAGTTATTTGAACAGGAAGTCTAAACAAGGACAACAAGAAACTGGAACGTGCAGACATGGATATGTTTTGAAGAAGGATCTTTTTTCATAAGTGATATGTATTGAGAAAGTTACCAAGATAAAGGAAACAAACCTCCTGAGTTTCGCGATAATGAACAAGGACTATGTGTTCAAGGGACCTGATAAAAGCACAGAAATGGAAAAAATCAAACTCAAAGGATACAGGTTGTTTCGTGTAAGTGGAAACTGTATGCAAATGATTTATCATTGCAGTTAACTGGAAAAAAAAACAAAGGGGAAACCCTTTATTGGCTTGATGCAAGCATCAAAAAAGTGTATTTCATACTTGTCAAGTAGCCAGTAACATCTCCGAACAAAGGTCGGGTGATCTTCTCCATGTGCATAGTATACATGAATTCGTTCTTCATTACCAACCTGCACTAAGAAACAAAATGGATTTGACCAGCACAGAAAAGATTGCAAATCCCACCTCATGATCTTGAAATACATATCTTCTGGAAGAGAGCAAATTAAATTCAGAAATAGAGAAGAGGACAAAAGGACATGGATGGGAAGAGTACAAAATTGAAACCAAAAAAGTGCATCTCTACTTTTCAGGGGAGACATTCTATTGTATGCATTGAGCAAAAAGATTAACAACTCTTATGCATCAGGCTATAAAAGATAATTCACGCTTGCGAATTGCAAAAATAAAGCACCCATAGTTCTGGTGTAGGAATGACAAAAGAAACATGCTATGAAAGAAGATATAAAAAAGAATGAAAAAATATTTATACTAACGCTACATTTAATATATTAACCAAAGGTTTCACAGAAAGCTAGTTAGACTTTACCAATTAAAACTAGGCATGGATGGTTTTCAAAATGACTACATCCTAAAGCAACTAGGATTACAAGAAACTCTCCTTAGCTAGATGTATGCAGATTAAAATTTGTGTATTGCATTGGGTCATTTTGCATCTAGCTAGGTCTGTTCAATCATTTTTCGAGCGCCCGAGAAACAAAAGCACAGCAGTATCTACTGTTAATACTGGAGATGGTCTTAGTTCCATGAGTCTTTGGATACACAATTGTTTGGTTATGCGGTTTTGGTCTCTGGTTAATACCTAATGCATAATTATCTCCAACAATGATAAAGCTGATCATGGGCATTCTAGCTAGTTCCTGAATGAGCTCCACCATTTCAGCACAAAGATGCGTTTATTCTAGCCTCTTCCAGTCATGTAGCCGCAGTAGATGAAAAATTGACAGGCCATGTACAAACTTGTTGCGAGGTTCAGCACTGTGCGATAAGAAGTTTCATTGGATTCTGTGGGTTAGTGTGACAGTAAGCTCTCGCCCGCCAACGTGATGCAATATAGGAGAGAATGTGATTCAAATGTTCATCTATTTCCGATGTCTCACATCGATTATGTCTAAGTCTGTATTTTGCACCACTCAATGACTTCTACTACATGCAGTAATCAGCCTCAACATCTTGAGTCCAAATCCAAAACAATAACAAAAGGGGTGTGACTGAATATTTGGCCGTATAAACTTTAAATCTGCCTCCCTTATCTTCTGCCACTTAAAACTCGTGCATAGCATGAGATAGGCTACAATTTTTTCTCGATAAGTCTAAGGGAGCTGTATCGACAACGATTGCCAACCTTGTACACGGTGGGAACAAAAAAAGCCAAAAAAGTAGTGCTGTACAGAACAAGTAAATTCGTAAAAACATTTAGCAAAGGTTGCATACAGGATTTTACGATTAAGCCACAGAGATAAAGTGGAGCAGAAATTTCTTATATCATCTTAAATTCAGGTGTTAGATTTACATCAATGATACTTATAACAGAAAAGAAGGCGAAGAGATTTCAAAAGCAACTATAACCAGAAAAAGCAGAAACCAGAAATATAGCAGAACAGCAATAACGAGCACCTCCCATTACATGTATAACAAGCAAGCTAGCAAAAAATTATGGGAAGTATGACACACTCAGGATCATTTGACACTCACTTTTAAGTGTTCGTGAGCTTCTTTTACTGTTTTCCCGTCCTTTTTCTTCTTCCAGTTATGACCGTCTTTCCGGAAATTCCTGAGCATCTTACGATCAAACAACACGATTGTGCCACCTGTTGTAGTGAGAAGATTACATAAATCAACAGAACCTAACATGTCCTAGAAGTTCACTTTACTGATGTCTTTTTTTAAATAAGTAAAATATTATTCACAAGTAATCCCAAGCACTGAGTTCATTGCTGGGTATTACTTTGTTTACTGAAGTCATGTTCCATTTCATTTAATATTACACTACACAAAACAAGAAAGAAATCATCGCAAGACAAAGACCATAAAAGGTAGTCGCTTAGAGTGGTATTACTCATCGGCAGGTTCACAGGCTTGACAAAGATGTTGAAGTACTTGTAGTTGCACAATATAGCATGGATCTCATTTGGTCGGAGCCACCTCATCTTCGCTTCTTCCATTATACTGGGAATATCCAAATCTGTGCAAGCAACAGAAAATATCACTTTTAATCAGCAAGGATGATTCAAGAAAGTAAATCAACCAAAATTCAAAAACTACAAGCAATAGCAGAAAGGTCAGCGCCAATTCTGATCTGAACGTAACAGTGTTGTACCTCTACACGATTACTTTGTGCATCCATCTAGTCATTATAAAATCAAGGGACCTTTTCTCGCCATCACTTTGCTCTCATTTTCCACGAATTCAGGAGCTCGTAGTTTATTTCCATAATGATATGGCGTCCTAACTATCACAAAAGGACAAAGAGTTCTGGCTTCACTCACATTTAATTAATAACTTGTTAGAAACACTTTCACACTAGATGATACTTCATTCACCAAAGTGGTCAAGGAAGCAACATTTACTTTGTTCTCATTTCTGAGCCGAAGGTCTATCGGAAACAGCCCCTTTACCTTTCCAAGGTAGGGGTAAGGTTTGTATACACACAACCCTCCTCAGACCCCACTTGTGGGATCTCACTGGATTTGTTGTTGTTGATTTTTGTATTATATTGTTGTTGTTACTGCTCTTTTTTTTTGTGACTTCTTCATTATTATAGTTTCCTTTCAATACTATCGTGACTTTGTTTTCCTTGAGCCGAGCATCTATCGAAAACAACCCATCTACTTGCACAAGGTAGGGATAAGGACTGCGTACACACTACCCTCCCCAGACCCCACTTGTGGGACTACACTGGGTATGTTGCTGTTGTTATTGTTGTTCATTTTATGGTAAACTAATTTCCTTTTTTTCTTGATATGCAATTTCCGGATTGACACAAATCAATTACTGAACCGTGCAAAGCAACATCTATCTTCATGTCTAACTTTAAAAAGGACATTAATTTAATTTATGAAAATCATAATAAGTTAATATGTCTACTAGTTGGGAATAGGTTTTAGACTTGTTAGACAATCCTTCTATATATATATATATAAAACTTATTTTCACTTTTATTTTATTTGATGATGATAATATGAGTTGAGCTTAAATGAAGAGTGAGGATTCATATAGCGGATCCCAACTTGTTTCGGACTGAAACATAGTTGTTGTATAATAATTTAATATGTCATTCTCATGCACTTGTCATATAATGGTCGATGAAGCACCCAAGAATTTGGCCTAGCGGTCAATAAATGAGATGAAAACCATGGGAGACCAGGGTTCAAATCCCCATAGAGGCAAAAAAAAGTGGTTTCTTCTCAAAGCCTTAGTATAAAGAGTAACCCGGTAACTGTGTTGGTGGAAGGTAATACTTACCCGGTTAAATACTCTAAAGTATGCACACGTTCGCCGAAAACCACAGTTCTCCAAAAAATGGTCGATGAAATTACTATTCAGGAAAATTTATCATGCTGATATCTTTTAACCAGCCCATCAAGTTGCCAAGTCTTCTTCTAACTTTGATCCTCAAACCTCAAACCTCAATCTCATACGATTGTTTAGTCAAAATCAAGGAACTCCTTGTTACTTCGATAAGAACTGATCTTGTATTATAATTATAATATAAATTAAGAGGCTTAACGCATGGCAGAGAGATTTTCATGAAATTTAAATATGGAGCAGCAGAAACATCACTTAACTATAAGTATAGTTCTTCAGGCATCATTTTTTTCAGGATAGATTGAAGAAATGCAAATGACATAATACAGCTTATTATGTTCCTAGAGCATAGCAAATCCCGATTCTGACTTTGCAGTAGGTTGAGAATCGTGTGAAATAGGTACAATTCTTAACTTAGTTGTTATAGTGATAATATTCCAACAAACTTTATATGCCACATTCCGAGGAATTACTCTTAGCATTATAAGTCTTACATGATCCTACCTTTAGTCTTTTTGGTACCTGATTCAGAGTCAACCCCTAAGTTGCAATAAAACTGCTCTTTTGTCATACACAACCAAGCATTTTTGCATAAACTAGCAAAATCAAAGTAACAGATATAATACCTTGCAGAGTGTGGAAGCCATGAATATCCGACCCAGCGAGTTGTCCTGCTCTGCTGCTTTCCATAACGCAACAAAACTCAAAACCCCACCAAACTAAATCATTCAAAGTTAGAATCTTTACTCCAAGAACCAATACCCCATCTAAAAACCCATGAAGTTTTTGAAAATAATAAAGCTTTGTGAATGATTAATCAAAACCCAGATATGCTGCTTTCACATGACATAACAAACATCCAAACCTACCAAAGTTGGAATCTTTACTTCAAGAACCACAAACCCATCTAAAAACCAATAAAATCCGTGAGCTAATTGTTGAAAATAATGAAGCTTTTTCAAAACCCACCAAACTAATCATTCAAATTTAGAATCTTTACTAAACAACCAAAACCCCATCCGAAAACTAATCAAAACCATGAAAAATTATGAGCTAATTCTTGAAAATAATGAAGCTTTGTAACTGATCAGTCAAAACCCAAATTCAGATATGAGTCAGCCTATGACCAGTAGTTCTATTCTACAATGAAAGCACATCAATGGCTGCTTTTTTTGTCTGCACAAAGTGTCAATATATAATATAATATTGGAGTAACCTAATCCCCAAAAAAATTAGTCTAATTTTGGGTGGAATTCGATTGGCTAATGGGGACAGCATACGGGTCGGATCAATAAATGTCCATATCATTCGTACGAACGATCGATCCAAGGAAAAGATTTGTTGCAGCCGAACCGAACGGAGGCTGACACGTAAACTATATCCGGGTACACGTAGACCCCATATGACTTTTCCTTCTTTTCTCTTTCAACTTTCTAATGAACTCTCTAAAATACTTATATCCATTTATTAAATTAAAATAACTTTCAATTATGAATTCACTTCACAATACTCTGTTTGTTTCAATTTTGACGACACACTTTACTTATTAGTTCATTCCAAAAAAAATGACACATTTCTATAATTAAAAATAATTCAACTTTAAACTCTTTATTTTACCTATTTTACCCTTAATGAGAAGCTTTTATATTCGTACAAATATTATGGACCCACAAAGTTTTTACCCCTTAAACTTTTCATACCACAAGTTCAAAAATCTTCTTTTTTTTTTCTTAGAGCCCGTTTGGATTGGCTTAAAAAAGTGGCTTTTCAGCAGAAATAGCTTTTAAGCCAAAAAACAATAAATTGGGATTGCTCGGCTTATTGTTTTTGGCTTGTTTTAAGCAATTTTTAACTTATTTTAAGCACTTTTTGACTTTGCCAAACACTGAAAAAAGTTTAAAAGAGCTTAAAAGCTAATTTGACCAGCTTAAAAGTCAATCTAAATACCCTTTTAAATTTCGTGCCGAGTCAAACTAACTCATCTAAATTGAAATGGGCGGAGTATTAATTAATACTGCTATCGTTTGTTTTTGTGACTGTATTTGAATTTAAGATGAAATAACTCTTAGCACGTATCAAATGCACTATTACAACTTGGTTTTTTAAATATGTCATGGTTATTTTATAGTTAATAGTTTTCTGGCACATGTGTATACCGAGTCATGTTACGATTTTTGTAACATAATATTAATATTATTAAAATAAAGTTTCAAATAAATAATTATATTTTAAAATGTGGTATACATTTTTGTGAATGAACAGTGTAAATTATCATAAGTTGACTTTGAAAGTTCGTTCCAAATAAACACTTAACTTATCAAATAGATAATTAACTTAAGCCAAACAAAATAATCTATGAATGTAACTGTTTACCCTAAAATTTGAGTAACAATTAAACTTATATTTTGATTTTAAGGATATTTGATTTAATCCAATACCAATTGATAAATAAGGAATTAAATAGATAAATTAGAGAATAAAATAGATCAAATCGGTATGCAAGCCAATCTCGACCTCGATTTGTGATAGCCTCGAGGTGTGATAATAAGAATAGCAAATGAATAAATAACTCTAATGAATAGTAAGCAAAAATAGCAAGAAAGCGATGAAAGGATATATTATTCTCAGTGAAATAATGATGGATACAAATGATTGGGGTCCCCCTTTATACAGTAGGGGAGTCCTAAATAAGGTACACTTCTAATTATAGTAGAAAATCATATTAACAGCTATTTAACCGCTATAGACTAATCCTTTTCGAGATTCACGCCACGATCTTCGGTCCGTTGCGGATATCTCGCCCTTTCCGTTACTGCTTTATATCGGCATGAGTTCGAAGCATGCCCCCTTTTTGACCTCGATTAACGATGTTGACCTTGATCTTGGAAAGAAACCTCAATCCCAGACTCGACGTCCTGGCCTTTCGATGTGGTATTTTTTTCTCCATCGAAGGACGAAATCGGACAACCCCTATTTCTACCATATACAGATAGTCCCCTCATTTCTTAGAGTAAAATGATAAGAAACGACTTGAGCCTCAATTTTTCGAAGACCTTGATAATGACTTCATCCCCGTGACATAGGCGGTTGAGGTGACCAAAACGTCCTGTTGGTTCAGTTCCTAAACCATTAATACTTGCCAGCGATGGATGGCCACTAGCGCCACCAAACCGTCGCCGTGAATATATAAATACATGTTCTTCATTTGAATCAAAGCTTTACTTTCACCTTCACCAAGTTTTCTAAGTTTCTTCCTCTCTCCATCTCTTCTCTTTTACCACCCGTTGATTCAATCTTTCAGTAACAAAAATACCAAACTCCACCTCTTTCCGCTTCCTTCTACCTGAACCAATGGCGAAAACCTCTAAAACCGTCCAACAAAAGGAGAAGGTTTCTTCCTCATTTTCCCGGTCGACCGGTGATAAAACGTCGGTGGAACCGCTCCCTCACGAGTATGTTCCCGGCCCTTATGTTTTTAAAAATGACTTCAAAGTCGAGAACCTTTCTCGGTGAATGGTCGATGTGAACACGTATGAGGTATATTTGCTCGATGACGGTGAAACAGCTCGAGGGTGTGAAGAAAGACTGCAACTGGAGGGGTTTCTAAGTGTCTACACTTACCCCTTCACATTAGGTCCTCTTGACCCGGTTATCGTTGACTTTTGCAAGACGTATCAGGTTACCCTTGGCCAGGTACACCCCTCTTTCTAGCGCATAGTGATCATGCTCCACTTCTTCTCAGGCAAGGACAAGGGGTTGGAATTCACTCTTAGCCACCTCATACGGTTGTATCGACCTCGATTTGTGAGGATTAATCAAGCTCCAACGCTGATCAACGAAGTCCCTTTTTGCGAGCATCGATGAGGACAAGGACCGGGGTTGGATGAGCCAGTTCATGCGGGTAAGAACTTGCGACCTTATCCCGGAGGAGAAACTGTCGTTCCTAGAGAAGTGGAACCCCGATCGTAAGTGACGTTTTTACCCATTAGCTTTCGTACTCCGTTTTTTGCTTTATGTAATGCCTTCATCTATTTGGCAGCGGTTGCTTGGATTCCATACGCGATCCTTGACCTCGAAGACTGGGTTCAGAAGTTGGCCTCGAATTCCTCTCATGCTGAGCACTGCTGGCGTGACTTGGCAAAGGGCAGATGAGAAAGCCAAGAATCATGGTAAGTTCATCCTGTAAGCTGTTGGTGCCCTTTTTCTGTAACGTTTCTTTTTTACTTATACTTGATTCCATTTTATACAGGCTTCGGGATATCGTTAAAATGAGGCCGGCCCCGCCTGGGGAAGAGGTGTCTCCCAAACTGGCTAAGGACAAGAAAAGGAGAAGGGCCTCACCTTCTGATACCCCGAAGCCTAAGAATAGTAAGGCTCGTAAGCCAAGGGACGACTCTGCCGCTTTGTTTGGTGACATAGCCCAAAGGCTACGAGATGAAGAAGAGTAAGGGGACGATGATGGCTATGAGTCAGTGCCTCAAAAGAGGGGGAGCGTTGAAGCTTCAAAAGCAGCTGGGACGGTGATGACCGAGGAGACTCACCCTTGGACCGAAGAGATCTCGGAAGGTACTCCGAGCAAAGTCCCCGAGTTATCGGGGGTCAAAGTTATTTCCCACCGTGATGAATAGCCGGCGAGTGTGCTTGAAGGGTCAGGTTCAAAGGCTCTTCGGAAGGGAGAGAGCGCCCCAAGTGACTTGCTTGGGGCAATCAATATTGAATATTCACTGCCCGACCTTGATTTCTCTGAAGGGAAGTTTCGGGAGGCTCGACTATGGAGACCCTCGATATGGGAATGGCCCACGATGGGGAAGACATATTCCGTGGCTGCCTTGTGGGGGTCGATGATGTTTCCAACCTAGATTCGACGATAGTTTTTGATGAAGCACATCATCTCCTAAACCAGGTAAACTTCATTCCCCATTATTAGGTTTGTTTTTATTTCCTTCTTACTGATTTCTTTCCTTTCTCCATAGGCTACGATGCTTCATCGGGAAGCGTTTACCAAGTCCCAAGCCGAGCTGAACTGGTGCGAGGCTGATCTCAAGAAGCTTACTGAGGAGAGATACGCCCTTAAATGCCTCTATGTGAAGAAAGAAGAGGAGATCAGGGACCTCCGAGCAGACTTGGCCCAGGCTCGTAAGAAAGAGGTCGAGCTAGATTAGTAGGTAACTATCCTTTTGAAAGAGTACGGTCTCGACTTAACTGTGGAGGCTAATACTTCAATATCTCAGTTGTAGCAAAAGTTGGGAAGGATCGAGCTGCTCCGAGGGGAAGTCGATCAGATCAAAGCCGACTGCAATAGGTGGAAGGAGAACATGGACCGCCTTGCTGCAGAGAAAGAGGCTGCCTTGGCGAAATTGTCATTGGCTGAGGTCCAACTTTGGGGCGTCAAAGAGAAAAGCTCAGCCCAGGCCAAAAGGATCGAGGAGCTTGAAATTGAGCTTGGTGAGGCTAAGGCAGAGGTCGAGAAGACAAAGATCATGGCTGATAAGTCCATAGCCGTGTACCTAGCAGACGCCGAGACTACTCAAATGCATCTAAGGGAGGCTTCTAATCGAGAGAGGTGGAGCAATAACTTGGCGAAGTGCCAATCTCGGAGGGAGACCCCCGAGGAAATCCACGCTCGAGGTTATGACCTCTCTAAAGAGATAGCTCAAACTAAGGGCTTGAAGCTGACGCCAGGTTGCTTATCTCCTCCGATGATGACGATGACGATGACGATAAAGGTAGTCAAGGCGGGTCGGACAACGATGAGGGACCCTAAGGAGAAACTGCCCCCGAGGGAGAAACCAGCCCCGGGCATAGTTAGGATTTTATTTTTCCTTTTCTTTTTGTAAGACCCCCATCGGTCCTTTGTACATATTTTTGCCCATAAATATATAAAGAAACTTTCCCTTTTGAATGTCTTCTCAAATTTTATCTTCGACCATGTTTCTTGCCTTGTAAAATTTTAGCACGTTCTTATGCTTTGAACAGTGCATTCGAGACTTTGGTTTTCGGTGGCTTCCTCGAAGTCACAACAGTCGAGTTCGAATAAGGTTCGAACTTGAGGCATAGGCCCTTTAGGGTTTGTGTCAGATAATGGTGAGTCCTCGAGCCATAGTCAAGTCATTCTTTATTTGGGCTCGGGATAGTCGAATCCTTGGGTTCGGATGGAGTGAGAACAAGATCTCAAAACTCTTAGTGTATTAACCCTTAGGCTCTTTAGATCGGGCTGATATGGCCTCTAAAAGATGTTATTATCCCCCTCTTTCGGCTTAAAATACTTAGTAAAAATTTCTTTAT